CGATGAATTAATTTCAGTTTTTCGGGGGAAAAAAAAAAAGAAGTGGGGGGAAAAAAAAGGGAATGATAGAAAAATTAATCACCCCAAGGTTTATATTTATGCTAAATTTTGTTTTGGAGAGTGATCCCATTGCCTTCAACCAGCTCATTCATGGTATATATTTAAACAGGTCACAAACCCTTGCTGGACCAGGGCCTACTAAAACAGAAACAAAGCTCGTTTCCCCAAGGCCTACTCACAAATTACACTTGTTTATTTAAGACAATAAAGATAAACTGGCGTAAATCTCCGTGCAAACACGACTATTTCCCGTTAAGGAGGGCTTATATGGGGTTAGCATAAACGTGGTCCTAATCAGCTGCAAGTGATCCCAAGTAAAGGCTGGAGGCAGACGAGTGGAGGAGCCTTTGGAACAGGGAGAAAGGAAAGAAGGATAGCCAGAAAAATAGATAAAAAGCAGAAATTCTGACTGCACAAAATATTTTTTAAGCTATGAAAAACAGGAAAATGGGGGAATGGAAGGCAAAGGACTATTGACAAGTGAGTGTGGAGAGCTTTAACTAACCACGCGTTCGGTTCCTTAGGACAACTGGGTTTATGTGCAAATAGGCACTAGGAATTGCCCAGATATCTGGATAAATTAAGACAGTTAAGTCATTTGCTTGTAAGATTTATACACATCCAATCCGAAATGTGAATGAACATATAAATGTTGTGGAGTGGTGAGTTTCTAACAACAGGATTGTTGTTCGCCTGCATTTCCTCTGGTAAGTGTAATATTCTACAAGTAATGGATATAACCTAATATAACCTAACAAATGCCAGCTAGTTTGTGTTATGGAGGTCCAAAAACAACGTTTTTTGCTTTCAATACACTGTTATGAATATTGTTTATTTATGGCCACTTTGCAAAGGCACAGGACAGAGACTGCAGACTTTTACCAAGGGCCCACTAGATTGCTGCACTCTGAGACTCTTCCTTTTTCCTTCCTTTTTGCTTTGCTTTGAAATCTTGCAACAGCCCTGGCTGCAACTACAGGGATTTTCGTACTAGTGAAAACACTTCTGCATTTTAGAAGCGTTGAAGATCTGACTTGCAACATTTCGGAGAAACATATTTACTGAAGAGACAAACAGGAAAGCAAAAGGACAAAAATGCTTCTTTTATGTATTTTGCTGTTCCTCTCAGCCTTGATTTGCAGCTATTTTGTTTTAGTTTGAGGAGTATTGGCCTTTTGCACATACTTAGTATATTACATCTCTGACATGGCTATTCTTTTAGGAGACTAATTCAGTAGCTTCTTTTCATTTATGTTGTTAAGGATCTTCTCTAGGCAGTCCAAATGCCTCTTCGCACATTGCAAAAGCAGCCTCTGCCCTAAAATCAACTGCTTTTCATTATTCGATGGGAAAAGCAAGATGCGGCTTCCTCTTTAACCCTGCTCACGCTGCCATGCGAAGCGATACCACATGAAGTTGCTTTACCAGCTTCATGTGATAAAAGGAGAAGTGGTTTAAGCCCACATTTAACCCTGTGAAGCACGAGGGAGAGCCCATCTCAATTTCTTGCTCGAGATGAGCTGTTTCACCCTATTACCTACATGGTGGTGTTTGCAAGCACTGTAATATTAGCCCCTATGGAAAGCAGCACGGAAAGACCATTTTTCATGCTGTTTAGCCCCATTTTCATGCTGTTTAGCCCTAAAGTAATGTGGAATGAAAGGGAATCAGCGCTGCTCACAGCTTCTAGACCCAGCTTCTCCCTGTTTCACAATCTCTTGCGGGCTCGTGGAAAACAATCTCCACCTTTGCATAAGTTCAGAGYAAAAATAATTTGCTCAAAGGGCATTTACAAGCCAGGAGGCAGAACTGCTGCAAGAGACTTCTTACAGGGTCAGCTTCTTGAAGGATACACTGGAGTTTCAACAGCAGGGCTTGGAGAAACTGAGCAGCACTTAATATTGGTTCTCCACAGATTTCAGGTTGTTTCCAATATGTATTTTTTTCTCTTGCCTTGAACACTCTGAATGATTTTTTTTTTGTGTGCCTGAATTCTGCTCCAAGCTTCATCTCCATCTAACAGGTCACTCTGACATATTGGTAATAATGACTTCAATGCAAAGACCGTCAGCTCCCTCTCCAAGCCCTGCCCTCCTGGCATTGCACTTCATGCCTGTCTTCTTCACGTGGTGACATCCGATAGTGCCAGGTCCTTCTGAAACCCTAAGTGTCTCTGAACTGATCTAATATCCCTGTTATATTTCTTCTGCCTTTTAAGGGATTTGGKCACATTTGGGAATCCTCTCTAGGATAGTGCCACCAATCACAGTTTCATTTTTTTTATGGGAAGGGATCTTAAATTATTTCCCTCATCCTTCCTAAGAGGTGAAGCTGTGACTGTGAAATACTACCGTGCTATTGCCATGTTTCTGTACAAGAAAGCTATTTGTGAGGGTTCGGAGCCCTCTGAGACCCGTTATCTGGAGATGCTGACGCTCTCCCACCGCAGGGTCATTTCCAAACGGGACTGTTGCACCCAACAGCAGCACCCAAACGGTGCTGAGCTACCTGCTTGATTTACTTGATAGCATCTAGGAACGCCCAGACTGGGCACCAGAGACCGAGTTTTGCTGTGTCTTTGTTTGTGCCAAACCGGGCAGCATCTCTGGAGCTGCAAGAACGTGGCTGGAAGCAGTTCCTAGAGCTGTGTTTGAGTGGCAAATRCCCATGTTCTCCACGGCAAACAGGCTCCTCAGGTAACCTTTTACTCCGAGATTTGTAGGTCTGACACCTTCTTCCCTTTATTTCTCCCATCACTTGCAAATTCCTAAGGAAATGAAGTTTGCAGAGGCTGTGTAAATAGGAAGCACCGTCGAGTTGTGTGACCAGCAGTGGCCGCCTCAGGAAGCACAAAACCCCGTTATGGTTCCAAGCGTTGCCTTGGCCGCGCACCCTGTGTCCGTTTCCAGGTGTAACACGCCRGGAACACCAACTTATCTTTCCAAAACACGGGAGAAACCCATGGGATTGAGTGGAAGGGCTGCTTCCCGCTGGGAATCTGAGATCCCACCTGCATCACAGAGCATCTCAGGAGGGGGAAGATGGAGCCCTGATCCACGGGGAAGGGATCAGCGCCTAGGGCACCGGATAGCGGCACCGAGAGGGCACCTGAGGGGAATGGGAAGTGGCTGGCGGTTTTGGTGTGTGCGGGGAACGATGTAAAGAAACAAATAAACAAAAGGGCGAAAAAGAAGTGAAAACACAGGGCATTTCCAACAGCTCGCGGCAAAGGGAGAACAGATATTTTCCCTTGGAGAGAGACAAATGCGAAGGAAAAAAAAAATGGTGAGAAATCGTGGAAAATAAAAYGCAAGGAATGACCTTTTTTAATACACAGTGGAGGAGATGACCGGGCGGGCCTGAAGCGGCGGCGCGCGGCCACCACGACACCGGGGCCCGGGGGCTCCACAAGGAGCGACCCCGGCGGGCTCTGGAGCTGGAAGCGGCACCGCGGGGCTGCCCGGGCCAGGCGGCTCCCTCAGGAACGGTGCCAGGAGCCGCCGCGCTTCGAGCCCACACGCTGCAACCATCGTGGCTGTGTCACAGACCCCTCCCAGGGCGAGGGCTTCGCCTTCCCATTCCCAGAGGGGTTTCCATCTCCCGTTACACGGTGTCTACTGGGGGGGTGTCGCCCTGTTGGAGCGCAGGGGGTTTATGGGGAGGGGGTGCGGGAAGGGCGCACTACTTTTTCTCAGCTCCAACCCGCCGCCGCGCGGAAGGACACAGCGGGAGGCGGAGGGTGACGTCGAATCGCCAGTGCGGCTGCGCAGTGCGCGTCACCCAAACCCGCGCCGCGCCTCTCCTTTCGCGGTCAACCGCCCCCAACGAGCGAGTGACAGCTCGAACGACCAATCAGCGCCCGCTTCTGCCGCTCCCCCGTCGCAGCGCGGCGCCGCGCTCCCGCCCACACACCTCCTCCCTCCTCCGCCGCTCCCCCCACCCCGTTTTCCGGCCTAGGACTGGTGCCGCCAGCCGCCAATCAGCGGCGCGGCCCAATAGGCGGGCGCGAGCTGCCGCGGCGGAGTGACGGGCGGCGCGGCCAACGGGCACGCGCGCCGGCGGGGGCGGGGCTCCGCGGCGGCCAATGAGCGGCTCCGGGGGGCGTGG